GGGCAGGCTGTTGAGTGACAGTGTTTCGCCGGGTGACCAAAATGCCAACACTTCCGACATTGACGAGAAAGGGGTCAATATGGTCGGACACTCCACTAATAAACTGCATGGGAAGGTCATGTCTACGGAGGCTAATCTTGGCAATACTGGTGCTAGACTTACGCTGCCTTCTGGGAGGAATGATGTAGCACTCAACAGCGGAGCCATCCTCGAAAGGTAGGGGTCCAATGTAGTCTCAACGTTGCGCAGCGGTATAGAGGTCCCCGCCCTTTTTCCTTGCGGAAACGCCCATCTAAAAAAATCTTATGTGGAACACTCTTTTCTTCTACAAGTATTTTATTTATCAGAATCTTGAATTAGTTTTTAAAAGTTTCTCATTATCATTCGAAATTTTCCCCCATTTAATACTGAGGGTTCTCAATTTGTTTCTTATTTATTTGCCCAGAAATTAAGAAAATGTTTAATAAACATTTGTACTAAAGTCGGAAAGTTCCAAATTAAATTAAAACACTTTTATCACAAAATGAGTGAATGTACATTCAAAACTGGGGGTCCGGACCCCCCCCCCATTCCCCAGTGGCTCTGCCACCGGTAGAACTATACTGCCACTGCATCATAATCAACAACGCAGGCTAGTAGATCGTTTTCAGTACAAGTATTAAGAGAGGAGGTTCGGCAGGAATAGGTTTGCCAGTGAGATCAGTCAGGGTAGATTGTGTACGAGTTTGGGACTCAAATGAAACCGCGACAAGGCGTGAAGAGAGCGGACTGCGAAAGGACGCTTTGCCTATTTTAGAGTAGAATCAGTAGAAAGGACGAGGGCAAGAGGAAGGTCGGGTGGTGTGAAGTGAAGTAGCGAAGTGGTGGGGAGGATGATAAGGACGAAGAGCACTAATATGGGGGGAGGGATAGGCAATGAAGAAGACTGTGCAGTAGGAGATGGAATGAAGGATGTTGGGAAAAAGGAAGGGGTGCATTCTGAAAGATGAGTAATGACCTAGATGGGTAGTTCGGAATGGACAGAATTTGGATATGCTAGCTGATGAAGGGGCAAGCATTATTGTCTCGATGAAGGGTAAAGAATCTTCGTTATAGTCCTTGGTGAGCCTGAAATGAATGGGGAAAGAAACGGTCAACCCTCAAGGTCCTATAAGGGATAAGGGCTAGGCGATAACTAAAGGAATACCGCGCCCATGGCTCCCGGAGGCTGTTCTTGACTGACACAAAGCCAGCCTCTCATCCTTTCAGCACAGCTCTCACACCTTAGAAAGTGGACTGAAGAAGATACGGAAGAGAAAGGGGGAGATGGAGAAGAAAAGACCATGCATAATTAGTCGAGGTGAGGGGTGAGTCCTAAGGTAGGGGTAATCTCTTTACATTGGTTTCCTAAGCCACCAACGACAAAAATAAGCCACTGATTGGGGGGGGAGGTATACTTGTGACTGCATAGATTTAACCTTTGTGGGTTCATGCAGATGTGAAGTCTCTGTTATGACCTGTATTACTTTTGATCTTTGTGCTGGATCAAATGAAATATAACCATTGCAATAATACAATTTACTAGGATTCCTGCCAATGATAAGTCACAGGCGGGGATGTGAACAGTTGAGGGATAGCTCATAGTAGTGGAAGTCTTCACATCCCAGGTTTCTATTTTTTTTGGGTGAATCAAGGGAGGTGAAGTGATGCTTTGAGAGTGGTTGTCTCCTTTTTCAGCCGAGTTCCTGCCATTCTGAAAATCTTTGTAATCACTGTTCACTGACAATTATTCCTTCTTGCAGGTTATCTTAAATCATATTTTATGTATCTACATATATCTAATTTAATCAAAATGGAGACCCAAATACTTACATGTATATAATGTTTAAAATAAATAATATATAGACACAAATGTGCGCACACATGCACATGCACACGCACGCAGGCATGCATGTGCCCCTCCCCACACCCACACCCACACAATACAATGATTACTTCAAGGAAATTAAGAATGGTCTTATGGCTAATTGTATCTTTTAGAGTTTATTACTTACAAATATCACAATGTATTTTTCATATGATATAAATATCTATTGTCTATGTTACATATCAATAATATAATGAAATACAATAACATAATGCTTACACATTATTGAATATCATTTCACAGCATAAATGTAGGTTTTTAAAGAACATATACACATATAATGTTCTCCTAAAGCACAAAGACAGATGGGGAGATATGACAGCCTATTTAAAATATCATCTCCACATATTCAAGGCTTATCTTGTGCTATAAATTATGAGCCATTAAGAATGATACTGATTTTACTGAATAAAAGATTCACTGATCAAAACATATTTAATTATTTCTTTGACAAGTGCCTTCTCATTTGGTGTTTCAGACTAGCATACTTACATATAGCTATCACATTTACCTTTTCTATGATTTTTTAAAGTAACATATCAAGGTCTTTTATTGTGGATATGATATGAAGCAAATATTCTAGTATTTCCATACTCTCACCTTCATCATTGCCCTGAATTTTCCATTGCTATTCTCAGTCCTGAATCATGGAGGAAATAGGAATTGGTCTATTTTTTTTTTGGTCATAACCTCGTAAGTACCATATTTTTTCTATGTCACTACAGTAATGTGCATACATATATATTTCTATGTCACTGTTGTGTCATGATAATTTTTGCATGTATCATTTTTGTAGCCTGGTCCTTTTCAATGCCTGATAATGGAAGCATGCGTAGTGAAAAACTTGTCCTGAATGACCTCCCACCCTTAGCTGGAATTCTGGCTTGGGGTATTGTTGGTCAAAAGCAAATTCTGATTTTTCTCATGGGATTATAGGCCCAGTGAATCCTCTAGTCTTCACAAATACTGGGGTTCTATTTTTGTTACCTTGTAGTCAAGTGGATAGGTAAAATTACAAACAGATGAAGCAATACACATTACAGTATAGAAACTTCAGTACTGCGTCTAATGAAGCTCAATAACCAAATAAAATTAGGTAATGATAATCAGGAATCATTTTAAAAACTTATTTTTTCTCTAAGCTTTTGAATTTTGCTTCTAGTCTTTTGGAATACGCATCAAGTTTGTAAGCAGCAGCTTCCAGCTTAGTTACACTATCCTCAATCTGATCTATCTGGTCTAGATATGGCTGCAGTGCTAAAATTTTTCATTAAGGTCTTTCAGTGCTCGACTGACGCTTCCTCCTATTTGTCGCATATCGGCATATTTGGTGATGGTTGCCTTGTTCATCTGCTCCAGTAATGCATAATCCTCAAGGACTGCAGACAACTCTCCCTGTGGAAGGAAACAGATTAGACAAAACTTACAGCAAAGGACAACAAAACACTGAGGAAAACTGTGCATGTGTGTTGTGGTGTGATGTAGTGAGGTGTGCTTTACTGTGATGTAATGTAATATGATGCAATGCAAAGTAATGTAATGTGATGTATATCTCAGAAATGTATTATGTTTAGTTTTTTCGGAGGCCCCTTGGAAAGATTGGGTGATGGGAGTAATTACTATGCATGAAACCACAAGAATTACTAAAACATGATTAGCTGCATTTATCAATCCCAAGTAGATGGATAGATTAATAAAAAGGTACCAATGTTATGATATGCACAAATAAGTAACTATGTGTAAATATACGCAAAACAGAAAAGTTTTACATAATTCAAGCTCAGATCAGGAAGTAGTATTCAAACTCTAATACCTGTAAGTAATTTGATGTGTGTGAAAACATTAAAGTTGCCAGGTGACTGAGATTTGGATCATGAGGGTCCAGAGCTTCGAAACTGCTTGTGCTTGTGGACAATGTTGGGCCTCGTTTTGGGGATCCAAAATCACTGAGTCCATCATCATCATCAACAATTCCTCTGGCTAGGGGCTCCTGTGGTCGATTGTTGGGCCCCGGAGGCCCAGTTTCTCCATCCTTGTTATTTAAATCCATTTCCTTTAGCATCTACCTGCAAGTGTGAGTTACCTATGACACTAGTGGGTAAAATAAAGCAAAGAATAAGCGTGATGAAAAAAGGGAATCACAAATGTAGATGTAATCACACAAACAAAAACATAAACTTCTAGCATATTTTCTACTGATATCATTAACTATTTCAACTTAAGAAGTAATGTAACTTTCTGATGTTTGAATCACTTAGAAAATAATGATGAAACAATCACATAAATTCTCAAAACAGAACTCATTCCTGTTGTGGTAATTCCCATATGGCAATTACTGCAGGTGATAAAATCTCCCAGAAGGATAGTAAAAGAAAAAATGGTAATCATCTATAAATTTTGACCTGTTGTGTAATATACCAACAATACAAGATTAGCAAAGAACTGACTGATTTAATGATATCTTCAAATACTTAGAAATAGCTAAACTAAATTTCTTGAAAAGACATATCAGTGACAAACCTCACCAAATCACTGCCACATATATTCTGGTAAGATAGGCTTTTGTGCAGTCCCAATGCTTATAGTAACTGAGCCATTTCCAATAGCTGTGATTTCTGACAAAATCACTCGTTCATTTATTCATATAAAACTATAGCAGACCAACTTTAGACATCCCAATATGGTAATTGAAAAGTACGTTCTAGACTATGATTGCATTCATCACAGGCAATATATTTAAGGATTTGACTTTTTTCTCTCCCTTTCCTCAGTCCATTTTACATCTACTGCATCCTTTGCATCCTAAGAAAGTACTCAGACACGGATATTCATATCAACGTCACATTTTCCTCCTTTTTTCCCTCCGTACCCTACCTGTGGGAGGAAACCCTTGTTTGTAAACAATCGATTTTCCCTTTAACAGAAATGGGGATACGACCCTACAATATTTACTTTCGCTGAAGGTCTATATTTACACATAAACAGCATTCCATCATATAGCTTATTTTACAATAAAGTATAATAAACTCTGAAATTAAATAAATCAAGTCGGACTCACATAATATACATCAACGGGTACATGCGTAGTGCAAAAAGGACGACGTACGGGGTAGCTCGTCCTTATTTTCTCCAGCTTTCTCTTATTTCATCTCTCTTGTCATCCAGGTTCGTCATTCTCTACGTTATCTCGAGGTCTTACTCCGTCTACTGAACTGATTTTTAAGTCTATTTCCCAAAAAAGGCCAGAGATATAGAAGCGAAGGAAATGTAAAAGATGAAACGGAGCTCAAAATACTCGGTTATTTTTTTACGTAAATGTGTTTTAAAATTACGTTCTTTTTTGTCTAGTTTATTTCGGGGATTTATATACCGAGGGATTTATTTTTAGAAGAGGGAAATGGAGTTATGTTTAAGATGTCAAATTGAAATATATGGTTTAAATGACCTTGGAGGTAAATTACCTTATAATAAACTATTTTTTGTTTTTATTTTTCTTAGAAATGTATTTGTATATTCTTAAATGTGTGTTATTGATGCAGGAAATGATTTACAGCAAGGTGAAAATTGCCATTATTAAATTAGATAAAAAGGGGATAATAATTACGGTTGTTTATTCATATCAAAAAATGAAAATTATTGTAAAATCCTATTATTTGTATTTAAAGTATAGCACTGCCATTATTTGTAAAATGATCAATAAAGAGTTCATAAAATGAATAAAGGAAGCAGTAAAATGCATTAAGTTTATATAAAAAGATATAAATATTTTTGTACAGCTTCATTAATGCGCAGACATTTTCCTCCAGGAGACGCAGCAGACCTTGTGCTTGCTTCTCCTGTCCATCAAGCTCTTTCATTTTAATTTCTTTTTCTAAAAATTTTAGTTGAGTGAATAATACTGCATTTCATAGAACCAAAAACGACAGATTATCACAGGGTTTTGTTAATAATTGAAATGTTGTTTATAGCATGCCGTTGATTCCAAGACCCCATTGCAATTTGAGGCCAGACTGGGCGGGTACTAAAGCTGCAATTTAATGTCAATTTTTTTTTGGCTATAGGCTTATTCATGGCCTAGTCTGTGCCATATATCTCAGCTGAAGATATTACGTTTTTGGTATATAAATCAGCTGTAATTTTGTTTATTGATTTGTATATTTTTTTTTCTTCAATACGGGCCTCATTGATATTAAATTATTGTGCATATTAATTTTTCACTTTTCTTCCAGAATGAACTATTCAAGATTTTTAACAAAATTATCTCAGAATCGGCAGCCTTCTTTGATACGTGAATTAAGTAAGTGAATTGGTTAATGTTCTTAGAGATACATGCAAGGCACTTATCAAATTGATATTGTAAAACATAAGATATATATAGTTTCTCAGTGCAGATGATGGTAGTTTATTGCATAAGATCTAGTAATTGCCATTATTTCAGTTTCTTGTTTTTATAACATGGTAAAAGCTTTGCATATGTATATATCTATCTATCTGTCTGTCTATCAGTCTGTCTTTGTAGACTGAATACTGAAAGTGGATAATGGGTCAGTTTATGCACATTGAAAAGAAAGTACTTATTAATTCACCAATTCTAATAACAGCGAACTTGCTAACCGATGCATCACCGGAGTTGGTCTTCATGGCGGGGGATTGCCAAACCCTCAGATGTTCCCCTTTCAAGCTGCTTCTATAACCATGAAGGACGGCCGAGCGATCACAATTCATCCAAAGCTTATGACAGACTGTCTGCAGTATGGCCCAACAGCTGGGTAGGTAGGGAGTTGCATATTTTGTGTAATGCTAGAATAGGACTGCAGGAAGTGATGCCTTAGTATTCGTGTGCCTTCTTATAGCAAGGATCAACAAACCTCCACAATTTGTGTCATGGAGAGATTGAGGTTGGATTGGTGTCTTGCTTAAACTGCCAGAGATGCAAACTTTATTGTGCCAAAATACACATATTGGGTGTTGCTTAGCATATGTACAAGTATCTACATTTTTTAGATATCAAATTGTTCAGTTAACATTCACTTAGGCAAATTTATATATATGATTGTAAGTATCATTTCCATTATTTTAGACAGTTTTTATTCATATGTCACTTTATGCAGTCCTACTCAAGACAGTTACAGTACCATGTTATAATGTAACTATTTATTAAGCATAGGTTTTACAAATTGCTAAGATATTTACTGTTTACTGATTCAATTGTATATGGGTATATATCTGTACACATATAAGGTACATGATATACTGTGTAATTTAATATATGAAATATATAATATTTATGTAATACTATGTAATATATAAGGTGATAAATAGGATATAATATATGATATGATATGTGATAACATACATACATTAATATGTTTGCACCATGACATGATGGGTTCTCTCTTACTGTCTAGTGTGAAGGTTGTGTTCATATCTGTGTGCGGGATCATGGATGATGTCAAAAAGGACATCTAATTAGGCAAAGGCAGCACTAACAGAGGTAAAAGTTGTGCAAAGGACCTCTGATCACATAGAAAAAAAAAGAGTTGATTGCAAATATTTTCTTGACAAACAGCCAACATATACCACAGTGGGACGGGAACAACTGGAATGAACAGCTATTTCATGAAGCTGGACCTCTGTTATCATGGGAGTTGTCATAGACATCCAGTTTGAGAGCAGTGCATCTAGAGCTGACATGGTAAAAATTAAAGAACAAATGAGGTTCATGTATGTCATCCTTATTTCTGAGTCATACTGGACTTTGCTCTGTGTACTTTGTTTTTAAATAAATTTTTAAAACTATACAAATAGGTCTTCTGAATGCTGTATACTATATACTTTTTGATCATTCTTTCCTCAAATATTCTCGATTTTCCAGGTATCCACCATTGGTTAAGAAGCTGAAGTCCTTAACAGAAAGACTCCATGCGCCACCACGATGGGCTGATACGGATCTCATTGTCACAGCAGGGAGCCAGGATGGTTTGTGCAAGGCACTCGAAATGATGATTGAGCCGGGGGATTTTGTTGTGACCCAAGAACCATGCTACACCGGTACTCTATCCATTGTGAGTGTCTGATCTGTGGCATTGGTGTTTTATTTGGAAGATTTATTTGTACACTGGCAGGTATTGTTATCATGTCTTGGGTATATTAGAAGATTTCTGATCTGTTTAGTAAACTAGATATGTAAGTTACAGTCCATAGCCAATATTGTTGTTTTAGCTAAGCACTATGTTGTAGGTTTTTTTTTTTTTTTAAGAATTTGACTATAATCCATAGTTGAGCTGATGTACATTGCTCCTGAAGTTCCACATTAAAAAGTTGTTCCTGTATGTATGTAACTATTTTCTTCGACAGCTAAACCCTTTTGAACCACGTTATGTAGCAGTGAAGTGTGATCATGAAGGCATGAATCCTAAAGCCTTAAAAGAGGCGTTGTCCCAGTGGAAACCAGAAGAAATTAGAGATGTCAAGACAGGAGTTCCAAAAGTAAGATTGATAAGGAAAAATATTTAAATGATTTCTCTACAGTTTTTGTTACAGAATTTTGTATAGATAACAATTTTTTTTTTTTTTTTTTTTAGTATTCATGAATGAAGACTTGTATGGTCAGTAAATGTTTCTGATATTTAAGCTGCAAGATGATTAGTTTTTGCAATATAATTTTTAAAATGGCATTGTGATTCTATCATATACAGTGCAGTAGACCATAGTGATATATATTTTTACCATTTTATGCCAATGTTTAGGTACTGTACATCAACCCAAATGCATGCAACCCAACTGGAGTATCTGTAGGCGAGAAACGACGTAGGGAAATATATGACATTGCTTCGGAATACAATCTTATAATTCTTGAAGATGATCCATACTACTTTGTACAGTTTGGAAACTTAAAGGTGAGTATTTCAATGCATTTATTAGTTTTTTTTGTGATTGTTACATATCATGGGCTGCATCTGCTTTGATTTAACAGATTTGGTTTTTCTTTGCTTATTGCAGATATCAATATTGAATTTTTCATTTGGTTATAAACTTAACCTCTTTATACATGCCAATGCCTTGCAGGACTTCCCTCCCAGTTTTCTCAGTATGGATACAGAAGGAAGAGTTTTAAGGTTTGATTCCTTTTCCAAAGTACTGAGCTCAGGACTTAGACTGGGCTATGTAACTGGGCCAAAGCCGCTTGTCGAGAGGATTGTTTTACACAAGCAAGTTTCGATTCTACATGCATCTTCCATGTCACAGGTAATAGAGCATAGATGAATGTCTGCAGGTAAGATATCATGTATGTATAATTTTTATCTGATATTTAAAACAGCTGTGTATATTGTTATGTTTCTTTGTCTTGGAGAAGGGTGGCTCGTATCTCCTCATATTCACAAGTGCGAATATTTGTGATATTCCTTTTAACAAATTCTTTAATATAAGAAATACAATAGTTTGATAAGGGGGTTGAGGAATTAAAAATGCTTCTATTACTGGCATATGATTTCAGGTGCTAATTAGTGAGCTTTTTGAAATGTGGGGAGAGGATGGGTTCCTGAAACATACAGAAGCAGTTCAAGAGTTTTACTTGAAGCAGAGAGAAGCCATGTTGGAAGCAGCAGAAAAACACCTTACAGGTATGTTGCCTCTGAAAGATGGTTATCTTTTAATGTATCCCTGTTTATTTTATTTATAGAACATAAAAAAGTAGAGCCATTGCAGTAAGTAAAAGTAAATAGAAAATGGTCATTAATATTTGAGTGTATTATAAGTATAAGCAGTGGATAATGTTTTTTATGAGATATCTTCTCTTTTTCAGGTCTATGTGAATGGGCTGTTCCAACAGGTGGAATGTTCCTCTGGCTCAAGGTGAGTTTTAAGTGTATAAGTTGGGATAAGATGTAACAGGAAAACTATGGGAATGTGTAAGGAAACCTTATTTAAAATCTGCCTAAAATTCGGTGCCAATTTTTATGTAAAGCCCTTTTGGTACACCTTAGTTTTTGCCATCCTCTCCCCTTGTGCAAATACAAAGGTATTAATTTCGCATCCCTTTGTGTCAGTGCATACAGACAACCTAATGTCTACCTGTGGTCATAATTATTGAAGAGAATGTGAGATTAGTTTTCATGGATTACATTGACTGCCTCTTGTGGACTTGTCATATCTTTGTGAATTATAGATCCTACCTTATATGGGTAATCTTTCCAGTATGTGACTTTTTTTCACTTCTATATCTTGCAGAAATTGAATAGTATTTTAAAATTCTTCAGATACTTTTAGGCCATAGTATGAATTTCCTGACATTCCATTTCATTTTTTTGCAAACAGGTACCTGGTGTGAGTGAAACATGGGAAATGATCCTGAATAGAGCTTTGAAAAAGGATGTTATTCTTGTACCCGGCAGGGCATTCATGTGTGATCCTACCACACCTTGTTCATATATGAGAGCTGCATTTTCCATTGTCACTCCAGAGAAGATGGAGAAGGTAGGATTGGTTTTATTAAAAGACAGTGGCAAAACTAATCATAGGAAATACTAGCTGCACTGTTGTACATGCATGAATCTGTGCTAATAAATTCTTATGATCACAGTCATATGCATGCTAGAACATGTAGGTATTTATGAACACATGACATCTATAAACTTTTAAGTAGTGGGTGGTTATGTATTAACTTATAGTATTACTCTTACTTATTTGTCATTATATATTATATGCTTATAGATATATTTTTTCCAGGGTCTAAAGAATTTGTCTGACTTGATACGAGAAGAACTTGAACTTCAGAAAGCTTAAGTGAAAGATTTCAACTTCAAGACCAAGTTGAACTCTTATTCAGAGGATGGTGTTCTGTCAAACAATGAGTACAGATTTTGCATTGTCTTATAATTTAGATTCTTGTTTTATAAATAAAGAACAAAAGGAAATTTCTGCCATTGCTTACTGCATAATCATTCTTGATGTTGACATTTGTATGAAATATGTAACCATCAAAATAAGTATTGAGCAGTTCTTTGTGAGTGTTGTAAATTGATAATTGTTTATAATCATCTTCGGTAAATCTGTCTTTACAGTACTAAAGTCCAAGTGCTAAGTGTGATTCTTGAAATCTTAACGTGGTGTTGCTATAGAATATCATATCCTTGCATACATTTAAAGGTAAGATGATCAGAATATGTTTTATTTTAGATACTTGATATTTATTGTGTTATAAATGTAGATATGAAACAATGAAGAACAAGGAGAAAAAAGGATTAAGAATAGCATTAGAAGCAGATGCAGGAGTAGTAGTAGCATTACTATTAGTAGTATTGGTAGTATTAGTAGTAGTAGTGATAGTAGTAGTGATAGTATTAGTGTTAGTAGTAGTGATAGTAGGTGTTAGTAGTAGTAGTAGTAGTAAGAGATGAGGTGGAGAACAAGAACAAGAACAAGAACAAGAACAAGGAAGTAGACAAATAAGAAATAACCATCATTTTCAGTGACATGATTAATATGATATTGACAAAGACGAAGTAACAGTCAATTTGAACTTGGAATCTCCTCTACTTTTAGAACTGGAATCTACCAGTGACTCTAAACATAAAGTTTCTGAGATTTCTGAAAAGAGATTATGGTTTCAGAATTTACAATCATAAAGGTAACTTGTTCATGCTATACACTTTTCATGCTGTCTTTCTTGCACCTTACAAGAAGTCCATTACAGCTTTGCAGTGATGTATAAGTAGACGTATAAGACTTTAGCTTTGAAAAAGAAAGACTAAATTGACTTTTTTTAATTTTTTTATTTTTATTTTTTTTTATTACAGCTATTAGGTTTGATCATTGTATATTTAGTTATGATTTTTTTTTGTAGTTATCAATGTTGTGATGTAATTATTTTTTCTTCCTTTTTATGAGAAGCCATATATTTAGTGTTAAAGCCAGTCAGCATCTTATAATTTAGTAGATGTCCCAAGAGAAAAAAAGGTGCTGATAAGCCTGGGCTGAATGACCAGGTAAAGATGTATTTTATAGTGCCACATGAAAAATATTGCTACCTATTTTTTGTTTTAATTGTTAAATTGACTTAATCTTGTCAGCACATTTCATCAAGCCTTGTGAATTATTTCATTAAAATTTTCTTAAGAAGATGAAAAGAAATGCATAAACATGGGTTGTTTTTTTATAGATAAGTAGACCTTTTGTGCTTTCTCTAGAAGTACTTTGTGTATTGATGAATTATTATGCACTTCGTGTCTTCACTGATATATATCTTTCTAGTCTTCAGTGCTCAAGGCAGATAAACTCTGTGTGTCTTCTGTTATAAGTTGTTACCATTTCAAAAATTACATTTCATACCGTTGGTTTTAACGGAAAAAAGTGCCTCCATAATCAGCTTCTCTTTTTTAACAGGCTGCTTAAAATGTATTACCTCAATGTAAGTACAAAACTATTGATGCTTTTTACTTCATGACCATTCATTTGCATCAGGTTTTACATCAGTGGAAATTATATGATTTGATATTTCAGAAAATAAAAGTTTATGTAGTTCAACTGGCTGCTAACTATCAGTGCCATTTACCATACTGTTGGTTATCAAGTAGCATTGTTTTACATACTA